GGATGCCCTCCCCCAGACTAGCACTCCCCCACTTACAGCTCCCTGAGGGGCCAGGGTGAGGGATGCCCTCCCCCAGACTAGCACTCCCCCACTTATAACTCCCTGAGGGGCCAGGGTGAGGGATGCCTTCCCCCCAGCAATGCCCCTGCCCCGTCCCTCAGGGGTCAGAGTGAGAGCTCATCTTCGTCCTCCATGTCCGTGGACCGCAGGCTGGGCCCCTGCAGGATGTCGGCCAGCCCCTCTTCAGGCCCCGGGCCCTCCTCCAGCTCTAGCTCCTCCAGCTCCCCGTCACCCCGCGGGGCTGGGCCAGGAGGGGTCTCCGGGGAGGGTGAGGGCATGGGCGACTCTGGGAGAGCAGGATCCCTGGCCCCAGGGACCCCAGATCCACTGTCAGGCAGGCTCCAGCCCTCTGCAGGAGGGGGCTGCCCCCTAGCACTCTTTCGAATTGAGGTCGTGTTCCGGAAGCTGGCAAGAGGGGGCTGGAGCTGCACCCCAGACTTGGTGTGGCCCTCAATGGCCTTCTGGAGCTGGAGGTTTAGGGGGAGAGAGAGTTTGATGTGGAAGGGGAGAGCATATGGGGTGGGTGAAAGAAGCAGCTGCTGGGAAGAGGAGACAGACTAAGGGGAAGCCACAGGAAGATGGGGGCGTGAGAGCAGACAGGGCACCAGGGAGGCACCAGAGGAGGGGACAGACATGGAGAGAAGAGGGGCTGGTCCTTCCACCCCTCTTCATGGCTTCAGGCCTCACCTGGCCCCCAGACACCCCTACGCTATACACAGGAACCCCCACCCCCGCCCTGACCCAGTTGGGTGTGGCTGCCTCTGGGGAGAGCACTCCCTGGGACTGAGGCACACAGGTTTCTGCATGGAGATGAGGCTGTCCCTCCCCCTGTCCTGGGTGGCCGGCTCACCTCCTCCAACGCCAGCACGCCCCTGAGCTTGCCCATGCTGGTCACGTAGGCGAGGTGCAGGCCCAGGAGTGAGAAGAGCGTGTGAGTCTGCAGAGGGCGGCGGCGGTCAGCACACAGCCCCTTCAGTGTCCCCCTGCACCAGCAGTCAGCACACACCTCCCCCCCCAGTGTCCCCCGCACCGGCGGTCAGCACACAGCCCCCCCCCAGTGTCCCCCGCACCGGCGGTCAGCACACAGCCCCCCCCCAGTGTCCCCCGCACCGGCGGTCAGCACACAGCCCCCCCCCAGTGTCCCCCGCACCGGCGGTCAGCACACAGCCCCCCCCCAGTGTCCCCCGCACCGGCGGTCAGCACACAGCCCCCCCCCAGTGTCCCCCGCACCGGCGGTCAGCACACAGCCCCCCCCCAGTGTCCCCCGCACCGGCGGTCAGCACACAGCCCCCTAGGCCCCCTCACGCGGCAGTCAGCAGGCTTGCCTTGTGCAGGGTGGTCTGCTCCACCAGCTGGAACGGGGACTGGTCGATGCAGCAGCAGTCAAAGCACACGGGCTGGCCCAGCTGTTCCTGCTCCCAGGCCGCCACCTGTGGGCACGTGGCTGTCACTGCAGCCCCTGCAGCCTCCTCCAAGCAGGATGTCAACATGCACCCAGGTGGCCAGCCACTCCTCCAAACCCACCCTTACCCGCAGGTGCTCCCAGCATCTTCCATCCCTGGGGCCCCACACCCCTGCAGCTTCCCACCCATTAAAACCAGGTCTTGTCAACTCATGCTGGCCCACGTGTGTCAGAGTAGAACTGGGCTGCATAGGGTTTTCAATGGCTGATTTTTTGGAAGTAGACCACCAGGCTTTCTTCCGAGGTGCCTCTGGGTGGACTTGAACTGCCGAACTTTTATTAGCCAAGTGCGTTCACTGTTTGCACCATCCTGCCCCCCCCCCCAGTTTCCGTTCCTCTCCTCTAATGCCCTCGGCCCCGACAAGTGGGCAGCTGTCTGTTCCTCCAGCACTGGGCCGTGCTTCTGCCCCTGCCCCCCGGGGTGTCCCTCCTGGCCTCGCCGGCCCCCACACTGATTCCCTGACCCCAAGCCAGAGGTGCTTCTCCTCTCTCAGTTCCCCTGCACGTCGCTGGCCCCTTTGCCAGTGCTGGTCAGAGACACAAACTCCCCAGGAGCGAGCGTGGCGTGATTGTGACCCAGTCGCATGTCTGCCTGCTACACAGCAGAGCAGGCAAATACTTGCTGGGTCCAAGAGCAGGGCTGGGTCACGTGGAGCTTGGTGTGACCTGAGCGAAGCCGTTTCTCTCTGGGACAGAGGTGTTTAGGCTCAGAGATGCTCGCCCCAGTCCCCGGGGCGCCAGCGTTAGCCCACTCGAGGTCCAGCGTTCACAGATTCAGCCAGCGTTTTCTGAAATCCCTTCCAGCCAGTCCGTCTGAATGGCGTCACGCTCCGACCCTTCTATCTGTCCAGATCTCCACCTGGTCCTGGCATCGGGTGTGGAGCCACAGGGACGCCTACCCTCCTTTCCTCTTGGGGTGAACTTGGACTACAAGCACACGTCCCCTGGACTCTCCCCTCCCCGACGCGGCAGTGTGCAGCCCTCCACAGCGGAGGCATAGGGAGGCTCTGTGTGGGAGGGCAGGCCTGCCCTCTGTCCTCTTGGGGATCACTCCTGGCCTTTCCCAGGTCCATCCTGCCTTCCCGTCAGGAGTAACGACAGCGAGAGCAACGATTCCAACGAACGTTCACCCAGCGCCTGCTCCACCTGCCCTGGCCCAGCTGCTCCTTGCAGCCTCCCCACCGTGGCCTCCACGCCACAGAGGAGGGAAGCGAGGCCCGCGTGGTACGTGGATTGCTGGTGATCACTTGAGGAGTGGGGGGCAGCTGAACTTCTAGCCTCGCCTGCTGGCCGTGGTCCAGGACCCCCGGCTTTGGACAAGGGGAGGACGAGGTCACTGTTGGGTCGCTGTGCTGCACGGCTTGAGAAAGCTCAGCAGCGTGACAGACGCTGACAGTGTCTCCTTAGAGTCCGTGAATCAAACAGGATCATGGGGACTCTCCCAGCATTCCCTGAACTTTGACCCCTACAGGACTCACTGTCCAGCTCGCCTCAGCAGGTCCCGGGGGGCTGGCTTCCTCGGGAGAGAAAGACTAAGCTCGGCAGCTGCAGTGCTCGTTTTCATCACCAACTGCACAGTATTTTCACCCTCGTGGAACAGCCTCGCTGGTCAGCCAGCTGACTTTCTCCCTTTGGTGTATTTTTAAGCTATTATTGTTGGTTTTACTGACCTACTGGGTCCTGGTGGTGCAGTGATTAAGCATTTGGCTGCTAACCAAAAGGTCAGCAGTTTGAATCCACCGGCCGCTCCTTGGAAACCCTATGGGGCGACTCTCTGTCCTACGGGGTCGCTGTGAGTTGACTCAACGGCAGCGGGTTTGGGTTTGGTTTCTCACTGACCTAGCAAGCTCCTCTTTCATTGCTGTAGTGGCCCATGGGATTCCTGTTGGGGTTGAAGGAGCCGCTTCCTCTGGTCATCCGCTCCACTTCTTTGTCAATCACTTATCAGAAACGTGTGTGTGTTCTGAGGGGCCCTGGGAAGAAGGAGAAGGTGTCCCTGCTCTGTCACTCACCACGCTTTCCTCCGACCTGACAGCTTTTTAAAATCTTCAGTATGTATTTATTCCAAACTCGGGCTTCTGTTCTAACTTTGGGCATCTTTATTGGACATTCAATTAGGCATTTATTTTAAAATACTACCTGCTGTGTTTTTTAAATTGGCTACAGACCTTGAAAGTTCTGCCTTTTCAGCGGCACAGAGCCTGCACTCCCTTTCGCTAAATGAAATTGTTGCAGATGGATTTCTCTGCAACCCAAAGGAGGGTCTGACCAGCGCCACCCCTTGCTCCCTTGCCTCTCTTGTGAGCTTGGTGACCCTCTTTCAGGGAGCAGGCGTTTGTCTGAGGGGGCCTGGCTGTCACTGCAGGGTTAGAGTGTGCAGCTCTGCAGCCTCGGGTCCTGCACGTCAGCTGTCCACAGCTCGGGGCATTGGGTCCCGGTGTCCTCTGTCCACAGCTCAGGGCCTCGTGTCCCAGCGTCCACTGTCCACAGCTCAGGGCCTCGTGTCCCGGCGTCCACTGTCCACGGCTCGGGGCCTCGTGTCCCGGCGTCCGCTGTCCACGGCTCGGGGCCTCGTGTCCCGGCGTCCACTGTCCACGGTTCGGGGCCTCGTGTCTCGGCGTCCGCTGTCCACGGCTTGGGGCCTCATGCCCTGGAATGCCCGGTGTCCAGTGCTCAGGGCCTGGCCGACCCCATGTTTGTCTCTGTGCTGTGCGCCCACATTGCCGTGTTTTTGCGCTGGCACCTGGCACCGTGTAGCTTGGGTGAGGCTCGTCCTTCCGGAACAGCCCCTCTCTGGTCCTAGTCACATCCCACACGTGCCGAGGCCCCGCATCTCAGCCTTGCACCCTCGGCTGCGTGAGGCTGTCCCTGAGGTCAGCACTGCACCCCCAGCTCCAGCAGTGCCCATCGCTCTCTCCCTGCCCTCCACCCTCACACCCCCGCCCCGGGCTCACACCTATCCCAAAGCCGCGCCGTGAAGCAGCAGCGTCTTCATCTGACAGAACGCCCCCGCCCCAGGCCGCTCCCCTGACATACCTCTTCAGGGGACATGTTATCCACCAAGTCTGCTGAGTCCTGCAGAAGAAAGACAAGTCCAGGTCCTCCCCTCCCCTCCCATGGTTCTAGAGAAACACCAGCCGCCTCCCTGGGCAAGGCCACAGCGCCTCCCACCCACGGCATGCCTCCCACAGGTCTGACCCTCCCCTGGGGGGTCTCTTCCCTCCTGACTCAAGAACCAGGGGTGTCTCACTCCTCAAGGACAGGCCACTTCTCCCTCTGCACAGCCCCTCAGCTCACCTGGATGTCCTTCTTCTTCGTGGGGCGGGCGCGGCCCAGCAGGCAGCCCAGAAGAGACCAGAAGATGGAGGACCTTCTCTCTGGAGGGAAGAAAAGGGAGCCCGGCAATACTCCCCATCCTGGGCACCTGCATCCTGGGGCACCCCGCATCCTGGGGCACCCTCCATCCTGGGGTATGGCCAGGCTCCAGGTGGCCCTGAGTCTGCCCCACAGGGCTGACCTTCCTGGGGTTCCCCTCTGCAGACACCCTCTTTTATTCTCCCAAGGCCATCCTCCCCGTCCCTGGGACAGTGACACAGAGGAGCAATGTACCGGGACCCCCGCCCACACCGGGCCTCACATCTCCTCCCAGCAGCAGCCCCAGACGGAGGTGAGGGGAGCCTGGGGAGGCGGACCGTCACCTGCAGGCTCCGGGGCCTCTGGTTGCTGCTTGTGGCCAGGCAGGGGCCCGTTGGGCTCCTCAGGGGACGGTGGGGCCACAGGGAAGGCGAGAGGAGGAGGAGGCGATGCCTGTAAGGAAGGGCAGGCAGCCTGGGTCCCCAGAGGAGGTAGCCAGTGCCACCCGCCTGGGCCGTGGACGTCCTGGGAGACCTACCAGCTCTGTCCTTCCTCCCCACACAGAATTCCTCCCTCCCTTGGAATTTCCATGATACCAGGTCCTCGCTTTTACCGCCCCTGGCCCCCGCCCCTCGCCGCCCC